TCCAATTATTTCTAAAACCAGTGCTATTATTTTAGCAAACATAAGATTGGTTGGGGGAAAACTTTCAATCGCTTTCAAGACAACAAATCAACACTCAGTCAAACACCCACATTGGACAAAACAAACAATTGAACCAATGTTTAGATCTATGCCTGTTTCTCTTACGTTGTTGGTGGTGGACAAACAAGATTCCTTAGAGCTGGTTTAATAATATTACTCAAGTAAAAGTAAAAATTTATGCTTTTGGAAGAGTTAAAAAAGTATTTGAAGAAACTTGAGGACTGAGAAACTGTTAAGTAGTGAAATGTTTTTACAATATGATATAAGAGTTATTGCAATTGGACTGACAAAACATTAACTAATGCACAATTGCTGCTTTCCAAAGACACACACATTACAAAACTAAATCATATCTGAAGGTAAGGTGTAAAATGCTAATGTTGTTCAAATTATTTAGTAATGTCAACAAAGCATTCGTCACTTGTGGACTTATTCACAGTGGGAAGATAATCCAAAACCATTACTAAAGGTAAAATTACAGTCTCTCATGGATAATGTTTCAGGTACTCTGAGAAATACAGTTTCTTCAAAAGGTTGCTCAAGTAAATTTAACCTAATAAATGTAACCATCTCTGGTATAATTTATTTTATATTTTTTACACAAATATTTTTATGGGTGAGTAAGTGGTAATAGTGAAATACTGGGATACCAAATGCAGTACACCCCTACTTCTGAAGTTGTCATTGCCAGTGTTTGAAGTTGAACTTTTCATAATACATGAGATAAGATAGAAGATCATTTTTGTTTTAAATCTGTGCAAAAAGTGCAAAAGCACCTAGCAAGCAATTATTGTGATGAATGGCCCCAAAGTAGAGCACGCTTGTTCACACTTACTTTTATCTCAACCCCATTGTTGTGAGCCTTTGAATTGATTCCCTGCTTGAATAAGTGGACTACATTTTTCATCCAAAACAATGCACGCTATTTATACACAAACTAAGTATTTATATAACATGCATAATCCATGAACTAGCCTGAAGGAAAAGTGAAAGAATGACAATGAAAATGGCAAACTTTCTCCTCACTTTGCTTTTCAGTCAGTAGCCATGGGAGGCAGTCACAAATGTTTCCAGCTTTTGTTAGGGGCTGAATTATAGTGGGTCAGTGCGTCCTTGAGGTGTTAGGGTAGGTTTCCTGCTTACCAGCGGGAGGGTACAGCAGTGCTTTTGTGCTTCTCGGAGTAAGCACTTTCCTCTGGTTTTATGGCCATGTAATTGTTGTCCTAATTATCGGCAACAAAAAGAAAGAAGAGGGGAAGTAGATACGAATCGACTGGTTGTCAACAATTGAAAGTACTCAAACACCACAGGATATGATGTGGTAATTAGTTTGTTTTCTTTGTGTAGTTTCGGTAGTTTAGCCTTAAAATATTATACATGTTACATTTTATGATAGCAGACACATTTTTATTAATATTTTAAGAATCAAGATTCTAAGATACTTTGGTCAATACAAACATTTCTCAGTACCACAATGGTAATAAAAATCACAATTTTACACAATAGAAATACATAAAATATAGTGGTGATAGTGGTTTTTTTAATATAACCATGCAGTTTAGAATTTATTCTGATATCAATCAAGATCACTTTAAAACTATTTTATCCTATATGTTTTTTGGCAGTATTAATGCTTTTCACAGGAGTCGCTAATTTGGATACTACTTTTAGTAATGATTATTTTATTGATTTATTGACAAATTTTCTCTCATGAAATGCAGTAATTTTATTTTTAGAACCAATTTCAAGTTAACTTAAAAATCTATATTTAAGTTTGATTGGCCAATCTATGAGTCAAAACCAAAACAACTTTGTGTCTTCACCACCCTGCTGCATGATGTGGGGTACTGCAGCTCATTGGCATGCATGCGAAGCCATAGTGCACCAGAGCACAGCCTCTGCTATACTGTGAGATAAAGAATGGAAAGAGGAACTTTCTAATGAGAAGTCTACAATGGGAGGTAAACTCTTAACCTCAAACTTCAAAACCATTTCTCTTGAAATTCAGTCAGAGAGAGGCCATGACACCCTTATTGAATTGGAATAAGTCATTGTTGGTTGTGAAACAGTTCTTGCAGATATTTAAATAATCAATAAACCAAACAGTTGTTCTCAGACCTCAAACTTTTTCAATCCATCAAATCTTTCTTTTTTCATTACTTTTCTCGTGGATGAAGTTTCAGCTCTTATACAAAGGGTTTGGCTCAGAAGACTGCACTGAATCAATATTACGGAACGTCCTGTCCAGTCTGCCCTGTTCCTGTTTGCACAGCCCAGTGAATGTGGTCACCTACTGGCCTCAAACAGAGTAAATCCCTATCTGTTCTGTTCATTCCTAAATTGTTCTCATTCGAATTAAACATGCCCCACTGTAGAAAGTAATTTACCTGAAGGTAGAATCTGAATCAGTAAACAGAAAAACAATTATGCATTTTTTATGAAGTCAGCAATAAAAAAGAACTCTGCAATTTCAGTAATTACTTCCTGTATTTTGATGGAAACAAAGTGACAAAGTAAATAGTATATCTTGAAACAACATGCAAAAACCGGTTGCTATTTACTGTCATTATCTGCTCTGCCTGTGAGAAAGACACAGAAAATATTATATTAGGTTCAGCTTTTTCAAGGCAGTACATAGTCCTGTCACGATAATTATTATATCAACTAATCGTTCAATCTGTGAAAGCTGGAATAATATATTTTGGGGGTCAGTATATATCATTTGAACTATTTCTTCGCAACAATGGGGAGATTTCTGCTATTTTTATATGATAAGGTAAGATTTGAGCTGTACTGTGCTGAATAAATAATTATTTATGACAAATTATTGGTTAATTCTGCTATTTATTTCTTGCAGTTCAGAAGTGCAGAATAGTTTACATAAATTAAACAGTTTCAATATTATCGTTTATTGTCTTTATTTTCTTCAGCAATATATCATACATCAAAATGTGTTATCAGGGCCTAGCAGTACAGAATGTCCACCTCTTATTACTTTAGGTTACATTGAAATCTGTTAGTAAATTATAGTTGCTCCGTATTCACATAATAGTGACAACTGCTTCTACGTTGCTTGCGTCACAACAAATATATATTTTATCCACTTGTGAGAAGCAAATAGCTAATTTAACACCTATGGCTGCTGCTTCTTAATATGCAGCCTCCAGCTTCTTTTAATAGATCTAAACTTTCCTGTAGTCCTCCCCTGATAATTGTTATCAACATGGATACACTGTTCTTAAACTGTGTTAAGCAGAGAGCCAAAGTCAGTTGGCCAAACTTTGAAAGTCAATCTCTCTTGATGTCAGTGTCATGGTCGATATTTCTATGAAGAACAGTTTTTAATCTGGCTTCAGTATCACAAGGCAGCAACTCTGGAGACTTGCTGACTCAGCCTGGCATTTAGATTGAAGATATTATGCTAAGTTTACATAGCATTACTGACTAGGAAAGACGAGGCACACTGTACTCTGGTTACAGTACATAAAACCATTATCTGCTTTCTGCAGTTCACAGATTATTGAAATAACATGACAATTTTACAGTAAAAAGGCAAACCACAATAGCAAAGACAAAGATTCCAATCAAAATATTAAAGACTGAAAGTGAATAAATGTACATTTTCCAAAAACAGCTGTTAGTCTAAAAATCCTTGGATTTACTGGCATATCACTAGGTCTTTTGAATGATCATATTGTGTTATTTTACTCCAGTAATTCTGTTTTTTGCAAGCCATGTAAATGTACACACTTCCTGGTCAGCTTTTGTTTTTTTTTACATGTATTATGTGGTATGGCTTAACTATGATAGTTAAAAATGTGATTGAAATGTGCAAGTACAAAGCTTCATGAGGCCTTATGTCCTGTCTGATTTTTGTGGCCAACTAAAGATTTGCAGTGAAATACCTCCTTCTTGGACCACCTGCAGCTTTCGGCTAATTAAAAACACCACCCACCATTTTGTGACCCAAGTGGTTTGACACAGATCCAGGCTCACATTGACAATGGAAACAGCTGGAGTCAGTGAAAGTGATCAATAAATAATAAGCCATTCATAATTCATAATTGACACTTACAGTAAAGACATCCCATCAGAGGCTGCTTTGTGCCCAATAATGGACTGTGTTCAACAGCTCACGAAGTCTATGCAGACATCTGTTTAATTATCAATTATTGTCTTCCTCCAATGCCTTTTGTTTCTATTCACATACGCAATAACAGACAAGTCTCTGAATATACTAGTTTGATTTATAGATTAAAGGGAAGGAAAGACCCTCTGACTCAAGATTATCTTATTGAAGATGATCTATGTCATAATGTTTTCCTCATCAAAAACATACCTGTATCTTTTATTCACATGTATTTCAGTAACACACAAACCTGGCATGTTTAGACTCTAACAGAAAACATTGTTCCACCTTGTGACATGCTCCACTATGTTTTTAAAGTGCATACACCTTCACTAGAATCATTTGGATAATCATTTGGAGGAGGAGGAAACAACATTATAACATGGCTTAAAGCTCACAAGAATCCATTTTGTGTAACGTAAGACCTTTAAAGTAGTACTGAGGTTCTTTCTCTTAAACTTTAAATCTAAACTGCTAAAATATTTACTACAGTTTAGGAAAGTATTACATGATTTGATTTTAAATGTTTTGATTCTGTTGCTTCAGAGTTTTAGATTTGCTATTTGTCTTGCTATGTTCATATAAACTCCATTGCCCATTATGCATTACTTAATATGCATAAAAATAAAATAAAAATAAAATGTAAAATATATATAGTAATAAACAGAGGAGGTTTTCCGAAATCTAATGAATCCAAAATCTTTAGTTTCTTTTTGTTTCTTTTCTTATTCTGGTTGTATATCACTAAATGCCTATTGCTTTGCCTTACAGAAAACAAATTAGGCAACAGATGTCAATGTTTTTCTTTTAGATAACCACTTTAATCAACCACAAAGACAAGCCAAAGAAGTCGGAGCGGACCCTAGCTGCCATACACCGGGTGGGCCAGGCGGTGAGCGTGGCAGTGGGGCGGTTTGTAGCGGTCGGGGAAGCTATCGCTGCAGAGAACCAGGAACTAAAAGATGAGATGAGCCAAGCTTGCTTTGAGGCACGTCGGGCAGGTAATGAAATAATGTAAATTTACAAATGTTCTAAATTAAACTATAATACATGTTGTACGTGATGCATTTTGTATTTGAAATGTATTTTTAATTGCATAAGGTATCATTTGAAGCATCATCTTGCAGACCTGCTTTGGGTATCCTTAAAGAACTTCAGGGTACCGGATAAAGCACAAGTCATTGCCTCTTCATCAGCAGTTACTTGTTAAGACAAAATGTGGCACTTTGATACAGCGTGAACAAGCTGCACCTCCAGGCTCTTCAGCATTATCAAATTCAAGCAAATTTCCATTTATCTGGGCAGTGCGGCTGTCAGGCAAAATTACATCAGTTATCCAGAGCACTCTGCTGTTATTAGGTTGGAAGTACAGGTCTGAATGCTAGTTCACCCAGGAGTGTCCAGTAAAAATCAATGCATTTTGAATAAAAAGGTTTGAAAACTGCATTCTTAAACTATATTACACAAAATTTGCTCTTGTGAGCTTTAAGTCATGTTAGAATGTTGTTACCTCATCAAAAACATACCTGGAGTTGTGTTTGAGTAATCGTGCATTATTAGGCTATCTACATCTCCGAAGCTCAAAATGCTCTGTTCCACCTTGTGATGTTATGTAGTGGTAGTTCTCAAGTTAACAGCTACCTTTTACCTTTAGTTCAGTGGAGATTTGCAATTCCAGGGCTGTGTGGAGTTTAAAAACACAGTGGGACACTTCCTGTATAACCACATGAAAAAACAAAATGAAAGAAGAACTCAGTCTAAATATGTGTGAATGAAACAAAACACAATTCCAGGTATGTTTGTGATGAGGAAACAACAATATAACATAGATATAAATAAACAGCATAATAGGCCATGAGCCCTTTAATACAGTCATGCCACAGTTTTGATTGTTAGTCTGTTAGCAAGATATAACTAGAAAAGGAAAATGTACTAACAATTCTAAAAACTTACTGCAAAAATGTGAAATACAAGTTAACGTTTTCTCAAAGGACTTTTTGTTAGTTTTAAAATCTATAAAACACAAGGACTTGTGAATACTTTGCACTTGTCTCGTTCATGACAAACAACACAAACAATGTATATTGAGTATTTTCAGATGGTGTCTCTTGGCTGTCCTCTTCTCTGAGCTGTGAGTGATGGACATTTGAATTATCAAGCTGTAAGCAGGCAGACAGAGCTGCACTCGGGGGAGGGCGAGGGGTTGAAAGGTTGACTTTTCATTTGTCATTTTGAGAAAACAATGTCGAAGGTGCATATCACTCTTGTCTTGTGGGACTATCAACTTCAAACATAGAGGAAAAGCAAAACAACCTTTTTCCATTAAGATCACCAAACTCTAGTGTGAGATAAGGCCTCTTATCCCTCTTGTCTGTCCAAACTTTCTTGCAATGCTAACATAAATCCATTTCATATCACTTTTGTATTTATAGTAAATACAAATATATAGTAATAATCACTAGATTAATGTTGCAGTTTCTCAAAGCACAATAGTGTATTAGAGTTGACAATGGGAAGTCATAGCTGCCTTGAGGCTCACCCACAGCATTGGGGCTACTAATCTGTGTCAATGGCCTCTCCAACTTCTCTGACCAACCATACAGTAATTCACACATGTTCAAGGTACAAACATGACACAACAAACAGGGCTTAATATGAAACATAAATTAAAGTCTTAAATCTAAGCTGTAGGCGAAATTAACAATTTCTGAGCTCTGTTTATGAGCTATGTTTGAACCTCCCAGTCCAGTTATGGGACCAACCAACACAAATATATTGGCAAGATTTTATCAGGCAAGTGACTCATTTAAACTCTAATGAAGCACACAAGAAACACTCCCACAATAATATGGTCACAGCTCTGTGATAATAGCTTTATGTTTAGGGACCCAGCATGAGCAGCAGAGCGTTAAACCCTGTGCTTCTGTGATGTGTAAAGAAAACATCAAAAAAAAAAAAAAAAAAAAGAAAAGAAAAGAAAAAAGGCTGATGGGAAGAGTAACTGTGTACTTCTATGTGTGTTTTGGAACTTTTTAATATGCAACACCAACTGTGACAAATTTATTCTCACATTTCTTCCCAGGGAGGTGTCTTACCAGTGCTTTCACACTATTCAGACAGTCAGTTGTTCCAGAGAAAAAGGGAAAGGAAAAAGAAAAACTTTAATTTTAGATGGTGTAAGACCCGATAAAAAAAAAAAAAAAAAAAAAAAACTTGGTGAAGTGTAATGTATGATAGAATCCAATGATTTATTATATATTCCTCATATGGCTGTTCTTAATACTGAAGTGTATTACTTTTACCTAAAAAATTGTTGTTGTTGTTGTTTAAAAATTATGCCAACAGCAGGTCTTAAATTCCAATCCACATTTATTTTTGCAGCTCATTTTTATAAAAAAAAAAAAAAAACATAATTTGACAAGTGCTGTACATAAAACAAATTCCAGAGAAATTGAACTAATATAAATTCAATAAATTAATCAAGAATGTAAAAATATAGTAATAAGAATAATAAAGTAGATAAAAACTATACAAAAATATTTAAATTAATAAAAGACACAACTCACAGAACTTTGTAGAAAGCACCATGGATATTTGTGGGGACATGAAAACTAAAGCAAAATTGCATATCATTGTGTTTATTTTTCTTACCCAGTCAAATCATAACACCTCAAACACGTGAACATTAATGGCTGAAAAAATAAAGGCAGCCTGAAAGCTGGGGTTTAATTAGACACTACCCATCACGAGACCAGAGGAGATCTAATAAGGCAGGTCAGTACAGCCAATCTGTGTTAGATCTCTGTCTCAGTCTATTTCATTTAAGCTCAAAGTCTGACTCCACAAAAGTATATTAATCAGTTTTAGAAAGTTAAGAAAAGTGTAAATATTGTTTCAGTACAGCATAACAGCACATCCTACGATTATTTTAGATATGTTATGTTTTTGATTAGGGCAGGGAATCACGCTGTCCCTCACAATACACTCTCTATGGCTCATGATACAACATTATCACCATTTGACGATACATGTGATAATTGACAAATCACACATAATACTCTGGGATATATTGCTGTTTTTAAGAACCAAATACATTTTAGTAACAATATTTCTTTGTTAAACAACTACCTGTGTAAACTTAATATGAAATCTATTTCTTTTAATCATCAAAACAGTAAATATATCAAGTGTATTGCATAAACAAGATTCCTTCCATTAAATAAACAACAAAACTGTAGCACAAAAATAAATAAATAAATAAATAAAAATTCTAAAAGATACCAAAAATACTCTTGGCAAAATATTGATACACGAGCCTTCGAAAAACGAAATTTTATCATCAAAATTTATATCAAGATATATTGATATTTTTGCCCACACCCTTATTTTTGATGCAGGTGTTTTGGTGTGAACCCAACCAATAAAAAATCATTGTCACACAAATAAACCGACAATTTACAAACCAGTTGTTTAATAAATAATAATAAATAAAACATAATTCAACTTATATATATCCATTTGTAGTGTTTGTGTCTTTCACTGCCAAAACATGAGTTTTAGTTGCACCAATCTACATTCATTATTTCATCTATATTTTACTGGATTTGAATTTGCATAGGCTTCTTCTTCACATAGAGATGTGTAGAGGGGATATACTGTGAGCCAGGCCTGTTATATTTGAACTGGTTAGAGTAGCTGGCTCTGAAAGGCTGTCTGTTCTGTCAGTTTCAATCAGTTAATTTAGCCAAAAGGTCCACCCAAACCTAATAAACAACAGGCTACATAACTCAATAATGCCATGGCTTATCCTTACAATTTCTTTAGTTATTTTTGGGAACAGAGTAATGCAGTTTAAAAAGTAACTTATAATACTGGTCAGTTTGAAATTTCACTTAAAAAGCTGATTTAGGAGTCCAGCTGGCATTTCTGTAGTACTAGTGTTTATTTGTTGTCTTTCCATTCTGGGCAAACTGTTCATCCAAGGTGACAGATTGTAAGAAAAAGATGATTCATTATGAATTTAAAATGCGCTTTGAGGGTATTTCAAAATGAAGCAATTAGCCGCGTACGCTTCTATTTTTGCCTGTGCCTGGCTGCAGATCTCAGTACAAACACAAGGCAAAGCACCCTGCGGCTTTTTGGTGTTCACTGACACGATTCTTGTTCCTGGGAGATCCCTGTGCACTCCCAGTCCAGATGGGATGTGTAATCTTCAAGCGTGTCTGAATGTTAATATTTGTTTGATCTTTTGCAGTTATAACTTATTCTGATGTTTTTGTGGTGATCCTAAATTACCTTTGCATCTTTTTGTTACAGGTGATGCTATAGCCCAACTGACAGATGTGGGGTCGGCCTCACCTTCATCCCAAATTGACACACGGGTGACTGTGTTCAGTGATAGGACAGCCATGGTCAAAGCTGCTCGCCTGCTGCTTTCCTCTGTCACTAAAGTGCTGGTCTTGGCTGATCGCATAGTCATCAAACAAATCATTACATCACGCAATAAGGTGAGGTTAAACATTAAAACATATGCAGATATGATTTAACAGGTATGGTTACTCGGATTGCTTGGGCATCTGTTCCGGATGCCTCCTGGGCGCCTCCCTCGGGAGGTGTTCTGGGCATGTCCCACCGAGAGGAGGCCCCGGGGAAGACCCAGGACACGCTGGAGGGACTATGTCTCTCGGCTGGCCTGGGAGCGTCTCGGGATTCCCCCGGAGGAGCTGGAGGACGTGTCTGGGGTGAGGGAAGTCTGGGAGTCCCTGCTTAGGCTGCTGCCCCCGCGACTCGGCCCCGGATAAGCGGACAAAAATGGATGGATGGATGGATGGTTACTTGGATATTTTTGTCGATATTATGTCTGATTGGTGAAAAACATGAGCCTGTCTTCATTCCATAGAAAACATCACCTTTCACAGTACTACAATAACAAGCACGTTCTGAAATGCAGTTTACCAGTTTTTATTGAAGTATTTTGTTATATTTTGTTGATCTTGAACATGTATTGTGAAATGAAATTTCAAATCTGATTGTAATCGTAGTAGAAAAAAAGATGCAACGCAGTAATTTTCCAAAATGGTTTATCAGTGTGGGTGGCAGTTTGGCAGATGTTTTGACCTAGCCACAATACACTGTAGCCTACCTATTAGTGGTCATACTGTTATGGCTACATATAATGCACTCTACAAACATAAAGTCACATACTTTTTAGTCCAAGTCGTGTTTTTTCTGGTAGATAAGCACACGCACTCTGAGGGAGTAAGCTACTCTGGAGGTAATTAAAGTGAAGCAGTGCATTTAGCATTCACTTAGACAATACTGCAGACAGAGCAGGAAGTAGAGTGCCTTCCCAGTGCACCTGGATGTGCCTTTAGCCAGACACAGTGAGATGGATAAAGTTAGAGACAAACTTAGAGCCAAGAATGGAAACAGAAGCTGGTTATCCTTGTTTGGGCAGACAGGCGACAGCCTAGTGCCCTCCATTACTGACAAACACAGTTACATTTCAGCCTGACTTTGGTCCATAATGGAAAAAAGCTATTGTGACTATCCCCTATTAAGTCTATCCCCCCTGGATTAATTAGTAAAATGTGGCATGTTATTTAAAACTCAAATGTGTTTACACTTTTTAGCTAAGATGACAAAAAATATTGCATTATCTTAATCTTTTAGACAGAGAATATCTTAAGTAGCTAATGCAAATGACATTTGAGATGTATTTCGTGTGTCTCAGTGATTTAATAGATGATCCACATTAGAAAGCACTTTATGTAAGATACTGAGATATAGATTTAATCTGTGTACAATCTGATTAAGGGCATAGGCATTCAAAGCTGAGACATCTAGTATCAAGTAGGGCTGGGTATCTTTAAGAAGTTGCTGATACGATACATACTTCGATACAGTGAGCTTTTGATTCGATACAATTCAATACGATATATTTCAAAACGATTCAATACAGTTCAATAAAAATAATGGCTAAATGATGGCTGATACTGAAAGTCTTTGTTAAACCACTTCTTTTGAGAAGTTAATATGAAACAGGCCGATTTTAGTCATCAAAACAGTGAATAAACGAGTTTCCTTCCACTCAACAAGCAAAAAACTGTAGCTCTGTAACAAAATAATTTAGCAAAATATACCAAAAAATATTCTTGGGGATATATCGTTACAGCAGCCCATGATATATACGACACATTAAACAATACGATATTTTGATATTTTTGCATACCCCTAGTATCAAGCTTTGTGCTTAATATTGAAATTAAGTCTGATATGTTAGTATCATATAATCACTAATTAGCACTAATTAGTCCATATTTTCAATGTTTCTCTCTCCCTTTTCTACGCCTAGGTTTTAGTAACTCTGGACCATCTGGAAAGAGTCAGCACCTTCCAGGAGTTTGTTCAGATTTTCAGCCAGTTTGGAAACGAGATGGTGGAATTTGCCCATCTGACTGGAGACAGGCAGAACGTGAGTAAAATGAAAAGCACTGGATTCTAATTACACTCGGATTGATTTTGTGGTTTGTTATTTACCAAGAATAACACTAGATTATTGAGTTAGAGACATAGTAACTGCCTGTGATAACAAGATAACAAATTTTTATTATGTAAACAATATGCTAATGAGTATTTCAGTAAACATAAACACACTTTAATTTGTTTTGTCATGACTCAAAATCTGTTTGTTTTATGAAGATATAATTGAACATGTAGCAGGGATGGGAAATGTGATATAGTAGCAGCAGGTGCGGGGTTGAGCTATAAAGTTTTAATTACGTTGTTTTGGCTGCTCCGACAAACATTGGAAAAACTAACTCTGGCTTAAAATAATCCTGTACAGAAATGTTGACGCTCTTATTCATGTTAACCTTTAATATAGCACTTGAAACTTTCAACTGTACATTTCTACTATATTCAAATTAGGCCTGTGATGATATATAGACTTATCATTCAATGGATGATGGAACAATAATTTTGGGGATCAATATTTATCATGGAAAATTTTTCACAGTATTATTGGGGAACATTTTATTATTTTTTTCAGTTTTATGTTTAGATTTGAGCCATGGTTGAATAAATAACTTCTTTGACTCATTATAGATATAAACTAGCTACTAAACTGTTTCATTATTCTGTTTATTTATTGCAATTTGTGTTTTTTTTATCATAAATTTAGACTCGTTTTGGGGGGATAATTCTGATTTGGATAACTGTGGTATGAATTAGTTTCAATATTATCGGTTATCATCTATATTTTTTCAGCAATCTATCGCAAATTTGTTATCGTGACAGGCCTAATTCAAGTAAAACGAAACTTCTCCTCCAGGCATTACTCTTAAAGCTATCTTGGGGTTTTCAGCTTTGTACTGTCAAAAATCCCTAATCCTCATTTGATGCATACAGTACATGGTGCAGCTAAAGCGCTTTCCCTGCTGATGTAAAATGCAGCGGCTGCGATATTTCCAACAGGGAGGCAGTTTTATCAGGGCTCTTGTTTTGACACACACGTCACGTCCCCCTTCCAAAGCTACTCATCACTGCGTCTAATGCTCTCACACATTTCCAGTTTTTTATTTCTCATCTTTTGTCATACTTAACTCCCACCTCTCTGTACCAGGCCTCTCCAAAATCCTATCATCTTCATCTGTATAAGCCGGCAACTAAAATAATGACAGATAATCACGCTGTCTTTGTAATCTATGGGGAAATGCTGGGAGTGGAGTGGGTTCAGCTGTCTTTTCACACCATGTATATTATTGGAATCTATTTTATATTTGTTTAGAGGAAAATCAGGTCATGCCAGTCCATACCAGACCATAGTAAGGCTAATATATTGTATATTGCTGTATCCATGTTCATGATGTAGGACCTAAAGGATGAGAAGAAGAAAGCGCGGATGGCTGCAGCTCGTGCTGTGTTGGAAAAATGCACCATGATGCTCCTCACAGCCTCCAAGGTAAACAACCAAGAGAGAGCCAGGGCTATATAAAGTCATTTAAAATTATATTTAGTGCACTGAATGATGAAGCGGGTACATTATTCCAATATGTCCGGAATATATGAAATATTAAGTGAGAAATTATAGCGGAAATACATCAAAAGGACAGAAGTTGAAAGCCAACAGAGGCCATGGGCTCTGACATTTTATGTGAATTTTCTTCCAAAGACCTGCCTTAGGCACCCGGATTGTGAGTCGGCTCGAATCAACAAAGACGCAGTTTTTCACCGCATGCGCTGCGCCCTGGAGCAGGTCATTGAGATAGTCACTGAGGCCCGCAGCTGTGGGGACAGCAAGGTCCTGCCCGTCAGCATTTACAATGGGATCAGAGATTTCAAGGTACAAGTCTCATAGAGAGAGCACTATTACCAGAGTAGTAGAGTTACTTAATTTTGTTGTTTTTTGTACTAATTAAACCTACTGAATTCTGAATCATATATTTAACATTCAACATTCTTGAAAATTCAAAAGAAATGACTTTGGTCAGTGGTAATTAAAAATAATTGGACTTATGTGTTGTGTAAGTATTAAAACTGGTTACTTTTTTGTTGTTTCTGATCTTCTCTCTCTCTGTGATCCATGTCCAGTCGCGGGTGGAGTACTTAAGGGAGAACCTGTACTCGTGGTCTCCTCAGGACATGGGCAGTCAGCTGGACATACTGGTGGAGCGCACAGAGGACTTCACAGACTCCCCCTACACCAGCCACGAGCAGAGGCAGGCCATCCTCGGCCTGTGCCAGCTGGCACGGCAGGAGGCCCAGCAGCTGCTGCAGTGCTGGATCGAGGCGGTGCGTTGGCACAAGCACACATGAGCAGATGCACACACACCTCCAGGATTATTCAGAAACACATATGGTGGTCAGAAAATTAGTTGTAACGTGTGTGTTGCCTGAAATAGGACAATGGTTTGTAACAATAACCAATTCAGAAAGTGTGAACAGCTATTCAGCTATTGAGTTGAGTCTCCTTGGTTTTTAGAATTGATCGGCTTACACAATGCTAGTGATTATGTTGCAAATTGTAAACACTTTCTTTGTGAACTGAAGTTCTCCTTGAGAATCAAATCACAAGGTTAAGTGCAGATTTTATGATGACCTAGTGCAGGGGTAGGGAATGTGTAGTTGGCTCGGGTGCAGTAGCTTGCCACCCCCTTCCAAGATTTAAAAATTTGATTAATTACCATTATAAATGTAGAATTGTGATGCATAACTTTGTGCCCTGGTAATGGATAATGGTTTATGTTTTATAAGCATCTGGCTGTGCCTCATCTAAGGCCAGCTGTGGCTCTTATATATATACTCAATTTCTGGCAACCATTAAAATGAGTAGCTATCTGGCATGTTAATTTTACAAAAAGTAGCTCAGGTTGGAGACCCCTGACTTACTGAATGTGCAGGTTTTACTGGACAATACTCAATGACTCTATATAGTAATTGTTTTATCTTTTTCTTTTCTTTCTGTGTCTGTCACAAGCAGCAATCTGCCCATGCCAAACAGCCCCCAGAGGACATGGAGGTATCCATTCTGAAGACCTGTCAGAGTGTCAGTGACCTCCGGCGTGAGGTGAGCCACTGTCTGCCTCAAAAACTCTTTTCGTTGAGAATTGTACTTTCTTTTCCATTTTCTATTCCTCTGTAATCTATTTTCCCTTGTTTACTCATTACCAAGCTTTTCTGATGCAACCTCTCCACACCACTATCATAAGCTGAAGCATGTCTTCTAATCTTGTTTTCTGCTCTTCTCTTTCAGCTCCATAAGGCAGCAGTGAGTCGGGCCTCAGACCAGCTCAAGGTTCACGGGGAGCAGTTGTCTCTGAGGGCTCTCAAAGCTGCAGGAGCTGAAGGAAACCTGGAGGCAGTGACTGAGTACTCTTGCACTCTCACTGAACAGAAAGAGCAGCTAGTTGAAGTAAGCTGTCTACATACTCTACTCAAAAAAATTTAAAAATTCACTTTTTTTTTAAAAATAAATTTTTTATAGTATTTTAGTTCTTAAATTGAAGAACTAAGATACTGAACCTAGCAAAAACAAAACAGCAAAACATATTAATTTTTTTTTTTTTTAATAATTAGTCAGAAAGAAGTATAAAAAAAAAGTACAGTATGGGAGTAATCAGTTTAGCCCTGATGAGCCTTAGTTTGGTCTAATTCTAGACCTTGTTTAGTCCTGGTCTCTGGCTTAGTCCCAGTCACGTCCCAATTTTGACGCGTCAACTAAGTGCGTATGATACATTTAAAAAACACTTCCCCATACCCCAAAACTGAGAAAAGAATAAAAAACGGAGGATTGATTTTTTAATTTTATTTTTTTTACAGACTTGCCGATTACTGTGCCATGTGTCGGGGACAGAACCTCTGGAGATAACCTGCATACATGCTGAGGAGACCTTCCATGTGATTGGTCCTCAGGTACCATTAACTATTGTTTTTTGGCTTCGTTAAGAGAAAGGGAACAAGCAAATTAAAACTAAATCAGTTCAAGTCAGTAAGTACTTTCCTTTTATTTACAGACTCTAAACCAAATAGTGTCCAATATAAGCTTGTTCAATGTAAGAAGCAGGTACAAAAATAGAAATTTTAGCAATTAACCATATAGATCTATGTACATGCTGTCCACCTCCACCTTCACACTGTCCCAGATCTGTTTGCTCTTGGAAATGGTCCATGCCAGTAATTATCCCGCTGTAGAATGTTCCTGTCCGGCAGAGCTAATGTCAGGCCCCGCGTGACTCTGCAGTAATGACTCTGCCCAGGGTTCAAAGGTTGCCGAATCAATAAAGCTCCAGTATGGGGCTGATGCTGGAGATATCAGTGTGCATCTGCCAAAAGTAATAGAGCATTGACCAGGGGGTAAATGGCTATTTAATACTATTATTGTTACTAGTACTGTTTGTTTGTATGATTGAAATTAATTTCAAGTTCAATTTCTTGATAAAAAAGTGACTAGTAGTAGAAAAAATAATGTATATTTCTTATCTTTTCTCTTTTTCATAGTATTACAATAAATACACAATAAATGCAGGCTAGATGCTACATTGAGGAACATCACATGCAGTAAGCTGCCAGTTGCCATGCCCTCATCCAGAATGAGATGAGCTATGGTGAACCTTTAAAGCTACCATCTCCAAATGTATTTGATTTTTTAGTACCAGTAGATGACACATTTGACACCAGACTCAACTATCCTCTCTGGTCTTCTGTCAGGTCAAAGCAGACTCGCCATCAGACAGCAGCAACATGGATAGCATTTAGATCACCTCTAGATATACAACAGAGGCCAATCTAATTACAGATGGTAGCTTTAAAGTAGATGCTGATTTGTTATACAGTACTTTGACATACTGAAGGTGCAATTTAAAAAAAAACAGACTACAGTACTTACATTTTAGTAGTTTTAACGGTTTCACCATTTCCATGTTCTTGTAGATAATTTCTGCTGCTCAGACGCTGGCCCTTCATCCATCCAGTAAAATTGCAAAGGAGAACCTGGAGGTGTTCTGTGAGGCCTGGGAGTCTCAGCTCTGTGACATGGCCTTACTTGTCAGGGAGATCAATGATGTTTTTGAAGGCAAGCGAGGTGTGTTTTATTTGACTTAACAAAACTGTATTGTCTACTTGGCAAATAAAGCATACAGTGCAGTGCACTGAAGGATTTGTAAGCTGTTCAAGCTTTGAAATGGCCACATATAACCTTTGTGAATTATTTTTTAAGAATCCAGTGGAATGAACTTGTAAAGAAGAAGCATTACTGAGAAGAGATGTCATGAAATTAATCATTGCAAGCTGGAATTGTTTACACTGTTTACATATCACAGTTGTGGCCATTGTTATTGCCGAAAGTGTCACAGAAAATCCATGATGCATGAAGCTATTATTTTAATCTTTATACTCTCAATGCATTTTAACTAGATAGGAAAACAACAGACAGAATGCATAGGTATTTATTTTTGTGAACGATTTAAGTCATAATAGCTGTGATTGTAAATAATGTATTAATTAGAGCTGAGAATACGTTAAAGGACATCACTGTGTTGAATTTCCATAAAGCCAAGTGTTTTAAGGGCAGTGTCAAGACGTTCACTTTTACAGACTCCAAATCACACTGCATTAAAACAGCATTAAGAGTTTATTGGTGTAATATGAAAGGATTTGTGCAGTTCTTGTCTGTCTGAAGATAAAAAGAGTAATAAAGCCTAAAGCGTAGCAGCAATCATAATTATTGACAAATTAATCTTTAACAAATCATATTCAGACTTTTCTTCTACTGGAATACCACCAGTAATACAAAATCTGCCTTTCTAAAAAATCTCTTTTTATAATAAGAAATGTAGATCAATCTATATAATTGTATTATTATAGAATGACTTATCCTTGCCTGAAATTGAGTGTAAATTTGTATGTCATAATAATTCTTTTGTATTCTGTTTTCAGGAGACAAAAGACCTTATTTATCACTTCCCAGGCCTGGGGTGGGTATCACACATTCGATCTCATAAATATTCTCCTCCTACATCCAACAGTGCTTTGTGATCCGCTGATTAACACTATTCTCCCTTTCACAGAAACATTCAGCAAACCTTAAGACTTCCAAATCTGTCAAGTTAGACGCAGAGGTACTACACACACTATAAACTGTGGCTTGCAGCATAATACATCAACTTATGTCGTGTACTTTGGTGTGACAGCAATGCATTAATCTCTCTGAAAACCTGATGTCACTCACTTGAAAAATTGATGGTGTTCATATGGTAATAGAGTGAAATGTTGCTGGCTTGCAGTTCTGTACGTGCTGCACTGGCGTGGAAAACAGTATTATGCTGATTATAAAGGTTTAGGAATGTAAGCAAATTAGAAAAAAAAATGTTTTCTAATATTTAAAAGAGATCTATCTGTGAGGTGAATTGCACAGTAGTTGTAGATGCTCAGATACTTTGATTCACATTATCAGCTGTATCAGCAGAATTACTTTTGGAAGAAAGTACAACTTTATAATTGGCTTTTTATAGTTGGCTGGATTGTTACAGTAACTGTATGCTGTGTACTCGGGTGCAAAATAAATACACAACTAAGACTTTTTGGGATGCCTATTTCTTTGTTATATGGAGAAACTAAAGAGACAAACCTGCCTGGGATGCATCCTCCAAGTAAGTTGTGAATAACTAAAAGTGAGATTGTAACATCTAAGAAGAGGTCTGCATCTTTCCTAAAAAACTCACTCACAGTTTTGTTTTATTCTTGCCTTTACCATCCGTTGCATTAACTACCTATGCTTTGTGTCTCCAGGAGCAGACAAGTATGGCTAAATTGGGTCTGGAGCTGCGACTCCTGTCCTCAGACGTAGACACTGAAATTGAAAAGTGGGACGATCAGGAGCATGAGATTGTGCGACAAAGCCAGTGTCTGGCCAGCATGGCATACAACATGTACCTCTTCACCAGGTACACGCTGAATATAAATTATTATCATTCATCTCAAGGCTCAGTTTTGTAAGCTAATGTGACATTTCTACATGACTCACAAAATCGTTGTATATCATCTGAGATACAGTTTCTGTACGTTGCTGTGGCTGTATTATTGTTATCATTCATCTCTCTCAAATGTGTTTCATTTTCTCATTTGCTGTTTCTCATATTGATTCTTGCAGAGGAGAGGGGCTTCTCAAAACAACAGCAGACTTTTTTCATCAGGGAGAGGTCAGTTTATTTGTATTGCTTATATATAATTCACATTTCCTAAGGCAAACTTGAGCTGAGGATGTCTAGTGTCCACCTTTTCTTTCCCTTTTCTTTGCCTTCTTTGCCCTTTTAAAATAAGTACTAATACAAATATATATATTTTTGCTTGACACTTTACAGGTACTTTCTGAAGAGGGTCTTCAGTTATGCTCATCTCTTCGCACCTTTGCTGTTCAGGTATAGTCAGAAAGATATTGTCAGAAATACATTTAGACTCCTGAAGCAAAAGTACACTACATTATTTATACTATGGTGGTTTTCAGATTGCATAATGTGATACCATACTTACAGCTGATAATGAATTAATATTCATTAATTGTACTTTCATGAGAAAAATTCCATTTGTATTAAATACTATTGGCCTATAGAATGCCATTTGAAATACAACATTTATTACTACATACACGTTCTAATAACCAGGGCTCTTTTGATGCCAGGAAATGCATTATCCATTATGATTAAAATAATTAAGATTTATAATATGTTTTGAACAGATCTTCCTCACTCTTACCTTATAGCAGGTCACTATAGTGTACTCATTTCTCTTTTCTCTAAGATTATATTGTAGTAATAATTTCCTTCTGTGTAGACAGATATGTGTCCCACTACAAATACACAACACCAGTGTCTCTCTACTACAGCTTCTTGTATCATGCCTGTTGCACCCACCCTGACATGTCGTGATCCCCGGAACGGCCCTATAAATCACACAGCCACAACAGGAAATTAAGACTGTCAAGACACTTTCACTAGTCTTCCCTCCGATTTAAAAACATACATGGACGGTCTGTCTTCTTTCCTGCTTCCTGCTGCCCACACCAGATTTCTCTTCCAGGTTGTCTAATTTTAATTAAACTGCTCTTTGACAGTCACTAAACACTGGCATTTATCACTAGCTTCTAAGTCTGGGCACATGTGTGGAAGAGGCAGAGGGTGGGTCCTGGGCTAATTCATAATTAGGAACTCTTCAACCCGCTGCACACTTTATGATTAATTACTGTACATCACATGAAGTCATTCATACTAACCATCCAGATATTGCATCCCAGTAATTTCCTAGCTCCTTCTTAGCTTGTAGAACACCTGGGCAGGCCTGATAGAAATCATAAAGCAATTTTTGAAGATTTATTCAAGGGTAATCATATAAGGTGTATTAAGTGCACAACCTGTTCTGAAATCAGCTGTGGACTTAAACATTATATGAATCACTGCTTTACAGCCTTGATGATTTATATCTAGGGACAAAGTAATAATGACATTTGAAACGCTCTAATAATCTAAATTCTCACTTCCTAAACTTCAGACCCTACTGCCTCTGTGCTAATGCAGCCTCTGCAGTTCAGTGAATTCTGCAGGTTCTGAGCTTTCATTTGGCCTGTCCCTATACTGAGAACCAGAAAGATTTGTACGTGTCCTCTCCTCTGTGCTGGTTAAAGTATTGGCAACACAGGTTCAGTTGTAATTGTAATACCTTTTTAAAACATAGTGTCCTTATTTCCTGTGTATTTTGTGCAGTTGGTTGATGAGGAGAAGTCCACTGTGCTGACAGAGATGGAGAAACTTGTGGCACAGTGCCAGCAGCTCCAAATGGGGGGAAAGACTCCTGTACAGGGCAAGACTGCCACCTTCCAGAAGGTATCCATATTGCATATTGCATCGTTTCTAATATTTTTGTAAAGTGTTTGGATATGCCCGAATAACTGGTAGAATGTCTCAATTGTCTCAGTGTTTCTCAGAAAATAAGTTTTTAATTGACAGTATAATTCTATTAAAGTGTGATTCAGCAGAATCAGGGCTAAGATCTGTTCTCCATCTCTGTGTAATTTATTGTATCTACTAACTACAACAACACAACTTTTTTCATTTGTATACTATATTTCTTATTTTTTGTCTTTTTTGCTTATGCATAGTTTTGATACCTTTACCCAGAATAACCTTAACCATAATTATTCTAATGGGATGTTCAGTAGTAGCTGGCTTAAGCATAATTTCGATCTACAAGTAACACCAGTAATGAACAAAGCGAGCAGGAATAATGAATGTCTATGTGGAATTAACGAGCATCCCGGGTAAGGCCGAGGTGTAGGTCACCTTGTAATAAACATGAGGTTGAAATCAAAAGGACTGCATGAAGAACAGCACCACCTTGGCTGAATAATGGTGCGCTTTATTATTTATCATCTGTGTCAGTCAATCTTCATTTTATCATTCCACTCAGAACATTCTGAATATCACATTACAGGTTTTGAAACGACATTGGAATAAATATATATTGGTATTTTTCATTAATTATTATTAACGTGTCTTACTATCTTAAGGTGGACACTTTCATTCAAACAACCAAGGGCATATTGACTGTGGTCCTATCAGTGCTACCATACTGCAACAAGCTTCACAGAAAGGTAAATTTTAGCAATTACATTTGTAGATTATGTAACCTTTCCTTATTTTCCTTCAAATGTAAATCTTATTTTTACAACCCATAAAATGTATGTCTCATACAAATTGTCACCCACGCTGGAATCTGTTAATAATTTCTAAAATGTTCTTTGTTTTTTTGGCTTTGGGAACTACATGATCAAATAAATATGTTTAAATTCTGTGTCTCTGTTTTGTTTGCTTAGTACAAGTCAGAGAGGAGCAGCCTGAGCTCTCCTCAAGACTGGAGGGAGAGACAGGACACATCAACCCCTGTCAAAGAGGAGGGCACTCTCAATGGCAAGAACAGCTCCAATGGTTTCGGCATCAAATCACTAGAACAGCACATGGCAAGCATAAATCTACTTGAGGGTAAATAAACAAAGCAAAGCAGTCAGTCGTCAGTTAAGTATTTATGTGGAGGCAAAACAGAGCCTGTACCACATGGGGACTAATGAGGGGGCTTACCCCATACTCTTAAAGAGGGAACATATGAGGAGGGGTAAATAATTCCTCAGCATCCATATGAACTATTTAATTTCAATCAATTAAATATTTCAAATCATATGATACATTCCACTGAGTCCATTTCACTCCAAGATGGAGACAATCAATCCACACATTGCCTCTTCTGTCACCTCAGCTACTTGAAGATGCTTGAGGCTTTAGCCATACATTCATTTCACCAGGTGCCTCTGTGAGACAAGTCTGTGCTGTATCTTTCTAGTGTTGCACATAAAGTTGAAACAAAACAAGAAATCTGTTACTTAAACACTACTTGCATGTTAACATAAGTACCAAACCCTTGTAACTGAGTCTCCTTTGGTTTGTGAGTCATGCATTTGTAATGTTTACATGTGTAATATCAGTGATTGTGGAACATTACATTCTGTACAAATGTTACTACAAAAATCCAATAATGCCATAGGAAGTTTCATATGCTGTGCAATGAAACGTGCCATGCTAGTGTCACAATGCAAAAAAATCCAAAGCCAAATATGTTTTGTTAAGCTTGCATTCAGTGTAAACTACTGTTCTGTCTGATTTATGCTTAAACTGTAGGATGCTTTTGGAATTTTCTTGGTCAGTAAAGGAAAGAATGGTGTGTGGATCCCTGCAGATTGCAGGACTGTTATGAAGACTTCCATGTTAAGCTGCCTACATGTTGACAATGTATTTAAGATGTATGGTACATGAAGCAAAGCTGGTGATAAAGAGTGAATCCTACAAAGGTACAAGCTAATAATTGATGGGCATTTAATGAAATCATTTAAATATGAATGCAGTATAAAACTTTGCTATATTATATGAAAGTAGAGATAATGGTTACTGTAGAGATGGGGAGAGAGAACTAGTTTTGAACCATCTACTCTTTTGAATATTAAAAGCATATGAAAGCTCTGAATTTAAAATAAATAATATTTTTCTTAAGTCTGACTTGTGTTTTATTTATATTGTACAAAAATAACTATATTGCATATGTATATTCTATTCAGACAAAGCAACTGTGTGTACTTTTAAAAGGCAAATGATAAATAGTAAGAACATCATGATGAAATAATAAGCAAAGTTTTCTGATGAAACAATAACAAAATCAATAACTCAGAACAATGAAACATCAAATTCATCCACACACAAAAAAAGAACTATTTCCAAAATTTTCTACCAATCTGCTGTTTTTTATCAAGATGGCTGTGATGGCAAAATGTTTCGTTTCGCAACAACCTTCTCAAACTCTTCCCTTGTCAAAAGGTTTTCTGTTATGCTCTTGCTCTCTTCGAGCTTTGGCAAAATCACAGCAATGTATCCTTCAGTGAACGGCTGTTGAAAAATAAGGCACGTTTAATTAATTATCATTGCCAGAATTCTCAAATTAACAGTTGTAACAGTATGCCTCACCTTTTCCAACAGTAACGCTGGTGTTTTTAGAATATCCTCATTGACCTCTAGAAGTCTTCCTCGAATGCAACTGAAATGTACAAACATTTGTCACAGGAGAGTGGACAAAATAAACTTTTGTCCAGTTGACAAATAGAATCTATAGCAAAAGCAGAAATTCTATCTGGACAACTGAGGGATTTTACACACGTAACAAGAGAGGTTCAGAAATATAATCAATTAAATAATCTCACCTATAAATTGTGTATTCAGTCTCATCTGTGCACATTATCCTACACAGAGGGGCAAAGTCTGTCAGGAACTGCCCCCCCTAAAAGAAAATAATACACGGCTTAGACCAATGAAAAACCTTTAGTATGCCATAATGCAGCATTTTTACCCGCTTAGATTTTCCAGACACTTGATTCTTGAGCCGACTACAGCAATCACTAATTTGGTAATTAATGCTTTTGACTGTCCGCCCATTTTGAAGAATTGGATGGGTTTCTGCCAGTGTAACAACACAAATTCTGCAAAAAGAGAAAATGGTAAACATGACTTATCCTAAACAATAAATAGGTTACTGAACTGTTACCTGTTCGAATGCTGCAAAATACAATGATCTTCACTTGGTTTACCCTTCAAGTCTAAAATATTGGCAACAAATAAACGACATGCATTAATAGAAAACAAGTTTAGACAATACTATTTCATAAAATGGGATTCAGACTACATTACATTATGTATTTCCATTTTAATGAAGCTACATAGCTACATACATAATTGCTAACTCAAGAGCTTTCATTTACCGGTTCTGTACCATCGTGTATAATATCTATCGATGACTGAGGGAGCCCTCGTTCCTGTCTCTACATGTGGCACTTCGTCCATCAAAACTAGCAACGAAAAACTTAAGTCTAAAACGTTATAATGACTCTTTTACGAGAAAATGGTTAGTCAGAAATGTGGTCACTATTCTCTGACGCACAGAATTGGTCCGTCACTGAAATAATTCCGACCGAATCACACAACTGACCATCATACACCGTGGACCATAGAACTACAGATCCATGCCATGGATCGAGTGAACGGAACCTACTGATCATTTCTGTAATTTACAAATTTACTATTTTTATTTATTGACATATTTATTTATTTTATATTTAAATTTTGTTCCTGGTGTCCCCTTAAAATAATTAGAAGAGGTAATCAAAGGGAGTAGACCGTTATAATGTGCTTTGGATATCAGAATAACCTTGTCATAATTATTATGTGATAATATCATATTGATTGAGCCTAAATACGTGCACGCGGTTTAGGTAGGCCTATGCTATGCACTGTAAATTGATTGCATTTGTAATTGCATTATTTTCCACTAGATGTCAGAGTAGGCCCTCAACCAGATAGAAAATATGTATAAAAATATGTCATGTCTATTTTGAGATAAATTATTCACAATGTATAAATCAGATCTAAGCCTCGGTGGCGTCTTAAAATGTTCATTAGAAACAAAAGCTTTGCAGTCAATCCAAAAGTGTCAATTAAATTCAGCTTTAAATTCAGGAGGCAAATAATGACAGGTCACAAATAAATGCTGTCTTATTGGCTCATATAATCTAATGAGTTCATCTTTACCCATGTAAAATAATAGAGTATGTTGGCTCGATCTTTAAAGACACAATGAGTTTTCCATTTGTCTAATCACCATTACCATGTCTGGAAAAGTTTTCCTCCTAATCAGAGTCATTTTTTCCAATGTTTTTTATTGCACCACCGCATTGCCACCACTTAGGTATAACAGCTTGAAATACTATACCATTTTTAAATATCTCTCTTGACATGCTTAACTGAAATGGTAAATGGTCACATTTTTCTATAGCGCTTTTCCACCTTCAAGGCACTCAAAGCGCTTTACAACAAGGAACCACTCACCCATTCACACACACGTTCACACACCAGTGTACACAGACACTGTGGGCAAGGTGGGTTAAGTGTCTTGCCCAAGGACACAACGACAGCATTCATCTGTGGGACCTGGAATCACACCAGCCAACCTGTGGGTTAGTGGATCTGACCGCTCAACCTGTGATGTTTTTTATGTTGGGAGCTGGATTCGAACCGCCAACCTTTTAGATCAGTGGGCGAATGCTCTGCCAACTGAGCTACTGCCGCCCAACTGAAAAATCATAATGTATGAAAATCTAATTATTATTTAAGTGATAGTATGTAACTATCTAGTGGTAGTAGTCCCATTCATGATTCCATGGAAACAGAAAGTTAAACTCATAATAAATGTCCTTCCATGCGATAGAAAGGTTTCATGCAATACTTTAAGAATATTATAGCAACTGGTGGTTTTCAGTTCTAAATGTCATAATTCCAGATGGGGTGCAAGAGGTGGTTTTCCTTTTAATTATATTGTATTTTGACTGAAATATCAGAAAGGTACATTTCCAAATATCAAACCTGGTCATTTCTATTATTGATTAGACCCAAGACCAGGCTATGTTACTACAAAAATCGCAAAAAAGTCTGTATTAAATAATATTGGCCTATAGAACAGTGTGATGGCATCTGAAACACAGCAATAGGAACATTTCCATGGAAACAAGCCAGGAGCACCTCCATCCCAAATAAAAGGTACTTTTGTGGAGATTCAAGCCTGCTCAAAGTAATAATGCATGTTTTTCAAAAAAAAATTCAGTGCAATAAAAACACCCATATTGAATTATGATTTAGTTGGCAAAAAAAAGTTACATATTGTGGCTTTAAGACCTCACCTGTAATGTGGCTTAGTGGGCTTCTGCTCTATGGAGTTAGAAAAGTTTAATGCCAATGTTCCAGCCAAGGCAACACAGTCTCCATGGAGTTACAAAAGTTACATTGTGCACCTTTAATTTTGAGTAATGCATGTATAATAAGTGCATAATCACTAGCTGTTTGATTTAGGACAGGTCAAGATGGCTGTCCCCATAGTCTAACTATCTGTTTCAGTGAGGTCCACTCTCCATTTTCGTCTCTGGGTCATTTGTAAAAGAGTCTCACTCTCATCTCTCACACGTGCAGCTGCATTTGGCTGCAGTGTCTCTGTCCACGTCAGCCTCTGCAGCAGCTAGTAGGACTGCTCTCCCTGTCCTTGTGTCTTTGTCCTTGGAAGGGGACCATTTTTTAAGCCAGAGGACACCCCGATAAAAGTGTTTTCATCAATGCAGTGGCGTGTGGGTGGCTCAGCAGTCCACAAACCATTTCCTGTTTCATGCCACACAGTGTTCCTCTTGAACCTTGCACTTTGTGCATATTTTTTTTATTAATTGTGCAGAGAAAGTAATCTTTGCCATCTTTAGAGCTATGATTATTTTTCCTAGTGAGTAAAAAGAATGTCTGTTTTCCATTAGACTGACTGCTGCTCGAAAGTGCAGTGAAAACTTGATATTGTTTTATCACCTTTTTTATTTGGAAGGGTCCAACTGGCTTCATGGAAATTTGAACTGTGTGCAAAAGATGCTGTCACACAAGAATAGTGGTTCTCAATGCTGATTAGCCTAATTTGAACCAAGGTTATATCATTTTCACTGTGTAGACAAAGCAAAGGATTATTCTTGCTCTGTGATTATCAGGCTCTCCATGTTTAATCCACAGGCTGGCTCTGTTGGATACCAGCCAAAACAAAGCATTAGTCTTTGAAAAAATTCTAGTGGTGAGAGAATCCACGTATTAATAAAAGACGGTAACAAACCCAGTCCTTCTGATAAAGTGCTAATATTGACCAAAAAGAAATTATATGACCAATGTTCCATATGTTTCACTATAACCACTCCTAGCTCCACAAAATAGTGGCATGCTACAATCTTAATTATTAATCCACTATTTCACTTTAATTGACAAAGAGAAGAAAAGGAAGGACATGGAGGACTGCTTTCTATATCCATGGGATTTTTCAAAAATCTTTTTGAATTTTTAATATGACATACATTGTATACCTGGTTAAGATGCATGAATCATAGAATTATGGGCAAGTGATCAATATTTGGAAGAGTGGTCACCTCCATAAAATTTAACATTACTAACTAGCACACTAAAACAGTGTTAGAAAAGGTAATAATAATATTTTTTCTTCCTAGCAGTGATGTCATTTGAGCTCGACCTCATGAAAGCTAGAGGAAGTGGTCTGCTGGTTTGCTGTTTGTCACATTGTTGCTCTCTTTCATTGTACTATCTTTACACATATTGGTAGTATACATGTCTGGTGGTGTGTGACAGGAAGAAAAATATGTTTTTAAATAAACTAGAAGCATCAATCACCATTACACTCACACATCACACATTTATACATCTTTGACCTGCAGCTCATTTATTCTAGTTGTTCTTTTTGCTGTGCTCTTTCATTTCAGTGATTAAGAAATGCTTTCAGTTCATTCCTGGCCTCCACTGCTGTCATCCTGCTTGTCATTTCCTGGAGACAAATGGGGTTCAAACGGGAGCTGAGGGCAATGGAAAGAACACTCACTCTGCCAGGTAACTCTCAAAAACTGCAGCTAGAATTAGGGGATTTCATTTTGGATTTCGACAGTAAATCCTTGTTTTCTTCATATTTAGTATTCAAATATATTGTATACATTAGCATCAACTTGGATTATATGCAAAGGTCTTTATTTAGGAAGTATGTGTACAAAGCTGGTATTAATTATCCATATTTGGAGCCACGTGTACCACATCTGCTTTTCAAAAAGGAGGAAGAGGAGTTTGGAGGCATTTTCTTCAATGTAATATGAATTTTTGTCAACGTGTTCTAGTGTTCCCATTGCCTTGAGCAAGCATGCACATCAGACTAATACTCAAGAATGATACTCCTGACCCTGGCTCCAGAAATGAGGGAATACTCACTTTGTCCTTTACATTTAAACATTGCATGCTAATAATGACAATAATGTTTTGTGCTTCAGTTTTGATGTGAAAGTTGTTGTGTCCACCTCCCCTTTTAATAATAAAAACAATAAAAAAAGAAAAGATATTGTTCATCTGATTAACTAAACATAAAATACAAAAGCTACACATAATACAAATAATAAATAATACAATTTTATTTATGAAGCACTTTTAAAAACAAGGTTTACAAAGTGCAGTCAGCAAAGAACAATACAAAAAGCACAAAAATAGCATACAGAAAGCATGCAAAAACAGACAAAGAGGCAAACAAGTACTGCCTCTGCTCTTCTTACTTCTCTATCTTGGTATAACAAACATGTTCTATTAATACTATAGAAATGTCAGTTCGTCATGTGGGAAGTATAGAGAAGTTTGAGAGGATCAACTAAAAATAAAGCAGTGTAGACTGACCACCAAAACAAGTGGTTTCACACCTAAACAAATTAACACAGTTTCTTTTTTGGTGAGGAGGAGGCAAATAGTTTTCATTTAGTAGGAAGGTTATATTGACTAGGCAGAGTAAACATTTGTGTAGATTTTTTGTGGCTCAACAACTATGAGGCTCAGAGACTATGAGTGGAGTTGGAAAGGTTTAGACAGCTGGATGCACGGTATTGCTGAGGAGGTGGCGAGATTAGTACATGGCAAAATGTTATTGCAAGGAAGCCATGGCCACAATACACCATATTAATGTAATTAGGGTTAGGGTTAGGGTTACCTACCTAATAGAGATTGACAATTTACCAATATCTGGACAAGGTGTTCAGTGCTAGATACTACATAATTTTAATGTTGACTCTAGATTGCAAACTTTCTCCTAAATGTACTTTTATACTCTAGTAAAACATGTTGACTACAAAGAGAACAGGTTGGTTGTCTTACCAGTAAATTAAACAAATCTTAAATGTCATTTTATATACAGTTCCTGGAGGAGGCACTTCTTACCCAGTAAACCAAAGAAGACATATGTCAATAATAAATAATGTTAGCGATGTCCTAACCTTTGTTACTTTCATCTCGTTTTCCCTTAAGCTCTTCCTTGTCCCAAGAAGCTCCCAAAGTCAGCCAGTGACTAACGCTGACTGGACGACCATCTCAGCATGGTGCACCCACAGGCTACCACGTCTGTGAGTTTTCCACTTTTACACGCAATGCTTTGTTAATCAGTTACGTGAAACTATTTTACTGGGCTTTAAAAGCATCACACGCAAGCAATCCAGAAGAGTGCTGAGACTGTTAGAAGAAACTGGAGGAATAGTGTTACTAAATTAGGTATAAAATGTGTGTCCATTAAGTAATGTGTTTCATTTATTCTGTATAGCAGTGGTAGCTTGAACTTTTCTGTTTTGCTTGATAATGGCATTTATGTAGCATGTAAAAATAATCTTAGGTTTTGCTTGCTTATAACAGGATACATAATTTGACACTTTTTGGGGTTAGTGGTAAGTTCTCTGTTTATGGTCAGTCTCTAAAAGGAAGGAAACTTAACTTAATATACATGCAATAAACAGTACTTTTTCCACTCTCAACATCATTTGATAACAGTTTTATCTACCTATCTATCTATCGATCTATCTATCTGTCTTTTATCTGTATCTCCATAGTCTAATAAAGCGCAAAATTGGTCTTATACAACAGGCTCTTAATATTCCTGTAGTGCAAGTATTAAATGAACAGCTCTAATATATAATTGAACAGACAGAATACAATACAAGATTTATATTATACAATTATAATATTGCATATTATTATGGCATATTTGTTGCAATATGGTACAATCATTTTAAAATAACATACATCATTTACACTCTATTCATATTTTATTTATTGTAATGCATGGATAAAAGAATGTGCCACAGACCAGTGTTTGTTCAGTCTTCTCATAAAACTGGCAAAACATATTTTTACCATACCACTTTTTATCCTTCATAGTGCTTTCAACATGAAATGCATTAAAATACTACAGTCTTTCTAAGAATTGCAGACAGTATTACTTTCCCATTGTAGAGGTGTCATTCCTCTAAAAGCTGTCCATATAGTCTGTATTTTTAGGGAAGCCATAGACTGATTTGCTCTTTTTCTTCCTGTCCTCTCGCATATTAGTGGGCTCTTGGGAGAAGAAGAGGTGTGAGGCGATGCTGTTTCTCACTCCATAGCTCACTGTGTTGTCATTGCAGTTTTCAGGGCTTACAAGCTGATTCCTGTAAATAAAGAAACTTAATAGAGGAACATTGCATTTACCACAAAATAATACAGTTTGTAAATAGGAAGGCTACTAGTGTTGTGCCTAAGAAAAGGGTGTGAAACATAAACTTTATAATGTACGTGCTATTTAAAGGGCATTTTCCATTGCACAGAATAATCACAAAAGTTATTTAATTTCATGCGTAATGTTTAATGACTTGTCTGTAACCCACCTGTCGACTTTTTTCCAGTCAAAATTATGGCGCATTACAACTGGAGGGGCTATCTCTGTGTCTGTCTGGGCTAAGGTTGTGGTGGTGAGACATGGAGTTGTTAACATGCAGCACAGCCCATCTGCAGAATCTGAAACACAATGTTACTGTGAGTTTTTCTTTAGGAAGCTGATAAGTGTGTGTTATTTTTAGTTTATCATGCTGTCGATGTGAGTGTACCAGAGTAGTGGTTGATCATATCTTCGAGGCATTGGAAAGTCAACCGAGGGGAGATGTAGTACCAGCTGTTGTCCAGTCTGAAGATACGATAGTGCTTTATACTCCTGTGCTTCACCGACAGTGAGTACACTCCTGGAATATTTGCATACAACACATTAAACAATGAGATGCCAAACTACGTATTTGCAGAACTGAAGTTGTAATATGTTATTTTTCCAGAGAAGACCAAAGCAGAAGTATATTTGAGGTCACGCCATGAAATTCAGAAGTTGTTTTTTGGCATTAGAATATGCACCGTAAGTAACAAAACTAGAAGCTTTTTTTTTTTTTTTTTAAGTTGCACAATTTTGCTTTGCAATTTTTGATCTGTCACTTGCTTTTTTCTACATTTTGCTTGGAATTTTCCACAGTATGACATTAAACTTTTGTTGCATTTATTCAGTTACAGATTAAAGTGCTTTGAAAAGCATGTACAGTGAGTTGGGTCACCACAGTGCTGACTTGGTGGTGACCTGCTTGTCTCCATGCAGATAGATAAGTTTAATGCCATACTGTGCATCATTCATCATTCAGGCATAGCAACAAAATATTCACGGAAACAAGCAGACAGCAGACCCTCACCCTCCACCAGTAAAGTTTCATAGTTTATCAGATAAAAGTAAAATACAAATAATTCATTAGGATAGCGGGGTCGCCTTAACATGGTTGGATCTAGGTAGAGTGGTATTTAAATAGTAATAGCAGCAGTAGTTTATTAACAAAATAGCAAACAAAAGCTCTTCTTTCTGTTGTTCATTAGAAGAAGCATTAGTAACAATAGTAGTAAAATCAAATCAGTAAAATGTAAAAAATATGCTTGCAAAATAACTTATATTTTGTCCATAGTTTGGAGTGAATTTAATTCAACGGAAATTATGTATATTATCCACATCAACGTGATTTGCAAAATTCCATTTAGCATTTTTAATAACAATTTTGCTGGAAAACTCATGTGCTTTATTTGTAAAGCCAGTGGTTAGTGATTATGCTCTTGACAGGCCTTTTAGCTACTATACTATACTATACTATACTATACTATACTATATAACTAAAGGTTATTGGAATTTAATTATATTTAATTAATGCTTTGTTGTTTGAGTGTAACTAATGATTTAATTAAACAATAAAAAAAATCACACAAAAAATATCTTCATAGTAAACATAAAGACTTAAGGGATCCCATTAAAAACATACAGACACGAATGTTCAATGTTCACATTGTCCAACATGTGATTCTTGCCCTAATTTCATAGTTAAGCACATTTCCTCATCTCCACATACCTAACATTTCTCACATCTCTGTTCAACCCAACTTCTCTAAACATTTTACTGAAATAAAAACACTTAACTTCTTACCTCTTTCTGTTGAACTCTCACGAACCAGAAATGAGCCCACACGGTTTACAGGCAACAGCAGCAGTTCCTCTGCTTTCTGCCGCTCCACACCTTCAAACAGCCACCTGGACACAGTACAGGTATATGGTGAAACAGTAAAACAAAGAAAAGTGATAATTAAAATTGTATCTTTATGAATTAAAGATCCCATTAAAGATGCTGTTAATAAAAAGCAAATTACACATTTGATCATTTCAATTCTTACCCATGATATATTTTGGCTACGTGTGCGTCAGGTATGTAGTTCACTTTGCCTGTCTTCAGCGAGCACACCTTCCACCAATATACCTCTCTGTCCAAAAAGGGAAAAAAAATCAAAATTAAAACATTGTTAAATCAAATGTTTACATATAATTTTAATCATCGTACTTTTTAATGACTCGTAGTTTCTCTCCCAATCTGAAAATAGGCTCTGTGATGGCAGGGGGTGGGTAGTCTTCAGTCACCACCAATATATCATCTTCTGCAACTGAAAGTAAATTAAATAATAATAGAATTCAAATTTAACTTTATGATTACAAAAGTCTGTAGTAGACAGACGTAGTACTCACTTTTTTCAGCGTTGTCATCATAGCTGCCTTCATAAGCTTCTTTCTTGTCCCCGGTGATAATGCTGCGCACCATATTCCCCATCACCTAGCTGGAGTCTAGACTGGGGTCAAACATACCAAAGTCAACAAAATGGAAAATGTTAGTCCTTCTTCTTTTCTGTTGCTATACATTCGTTTGTGATGTCTGACAGACCATCAATATTTTTAAATAAGAGACGGGTGCAGAATGGGGAAGCTGAGGCTAGATGATATCTGGGTTAATTTTCCACTGCCGCTGTTATGCAAAGTCATTACGATAAATGCATGTAAATTCTTCACTGCATTTAACTTAATATTTACCACTATTATAATACAGTTTTAAATGTGTGTAGGCATACAAATACATCAGTTGTAATTCTACTTTACTTAGATGTTACTTATCTCAGCACAAGCATACAGACATACATACATACTAATAAACAATTTCAATTTCTATTAGTACTATTGTTATCTGTTTTGTTGAAAAGATGACTATCCTACCTGTGATCTTGGCTCAGATGGCATCAAGTAAGGTCAACTCTATAGTCGCTTAACTTCATCTTTGTGCTGGTAGTAGTAAGTAGTAGAGAGAAGTACTCTGGTCACAAGTATTTACTGAAATGACCTGTTAGAGTGTGGTGACAGCGCTTCATCCGACTGCGTACTTACTTCCTGTTTGAAAAGAGGAAGAAACTTGTGATGCACCAAAAGACCCAAAACAACCAGCGCACTACAGCCACTGGTTTGTGGCTAGTACATCTTTACGCAATGTATCTGAACTGCTGTGTCCTTGTTGATTTTGTAACAAAGTATGACGTACATTGACGCGTTACTAAATTGATTTCTTCTTTGTTTAAAATATACAAATGTACAGGAAATTAGTTTAAGTCCATGCTTAGTAAAAGGGAAAGTCTGCTAGCTACACAGTAACTACCTTGGTTAATTACGGGACTGTGACTAAAATCTGTATTTTAAGATCAGGGAAGATGACATCTTAGTGACAAGCACTCTTGCCTCACAGAAAATGGTTCTGGGTGTGACTTCCAGGTCGCCTGGGCCTGTCTGTGCAGGGTGTGCATGTTTCTCCCCCTACCTGGTTTCCTCTGGGCACTCTAGTTTGCCCCATCAACCCAAAACTTACCACAAGTAAAACCCTCCAGCTAAGGTAATCCTGACCCAAGATCTGGAAATGAGTCCTTCGGTGTCCCCACTAATGGTTAAAGATTTTTTGTCTTAATCCATTTTTGTTTGTAGAAGTAAAAATTATTTGCCTGGCATATCCAAAATTATATCCCTTTGTATTTTTATACAGATGACCAAACGTGATTGAGAAACAAGATTAGCTGTTTGTTTTTTCAGTGACACATGTGAAAAGCAGGAGCTCATTGCTGTTTTTCAGTCCCTTGTGATATTTTTTCCTATCTTCTTATGACCAGACTCTCATCTTTGTAAAGTACTGAAGAAGAATGTATTCTGGATCCCAGGCAAGAAATGTAGGACTTAAATCTTCAGGCACAGAAAAATCTGTAATTTATCTGTAGTGTCACTTGGTTTTTGCTGTTGCCATTAATTTGCGATTGTAGGTCACTACTTTTATCTAAATGTAGCACAGTCATGACACAAAAACTACTTGTTGGCTTTCAGCGTCCTTCCTTTTGCTTCTTATGAGAAGGAACTCTGGTGCATTAAGATAAATAATCCAGACAGAGGAAGCCCACATCACCTCATGTCTACAGACTGGACACGGAAAGCAAAAGGTAGTGTTTGTGGTTTAGCGACCGGGCTGTTGCTATAAAGAAAGACACAAAGGGAGAGAAAGAGTTTGAGAATGAAAAGGAGAGAGAGGAGAGAGAGATATATATACTGTGACGGGGGAGAGGGTTAAACAGGAGGGGATGCAGCGCCATGTCAATTAACAGTTGAGACAAAAATAAAAATCCTTGGGCTGATGGAGCATATTTGTAATTTTAAAGAGAATTCAAGTGGTGAACTTTGGGGGGGGGTACTGTAGTTTTAATACGATACTCATGTGGGCCAATTACATACTACAGTTCATAATGCGGTAGGCCTATGACCTGACCTAACCAAACATATCCAAGCCAGTGAACCAGTTAACAAATGCACCTCCTTTGCACAGTGTGAAAATATGTCAGATTGCACATATTTGTCTGTAGCAGGTTTTACACTGCCGCTCATAAAACATATGCTTTTTGTCTGTGGTTGACCTGAGCCACAAGTTGCCTGTGGCTTCTGTGCCGGAGTCTGGATGTGTTTGAACATTTCAAGGATAAATGACTTCCACGCCCTACATCTAAAATTACTAAATTGCCAACTGAAAGGAATTCACATCGTACTTTTTTCTGGGTCTTTATGAAGTATTCCTATAGCCACAATCCTCTCTTGTTTGAAAGTAATTGAATGTTTTTTTTTCTCAGACAGCTCCCGAGTTCTGGCTGTAACACTGTGGCTGCAGCAGTTGTTGTGTTGTAGTCTTTGCCATAATGAGCAGTAGCTAAATCCAGATGCTATGAAGCCTTTCTGATGTGCAACAAACTGCCCAAGCAACACAAACTGTTGTTGTTTATGATGTTGAGTCCGTGTGGTCTCAGGTCAGTAGATTATCACGATTACATTTTCTGTTAAGAACTAAACATTATCACTTTGATGCATGTTTGTACTTTGATTATATCATGTGGTTACCGTGTTGACATAATAGCAACTCCAAGTGCAAAGTCTTTCTTGGTTTCTTTCCATAAATATTTAGCTGTTTCACTCAGTAACTTGTTATTTTTGTTTGTCTATTTCTGTACTCAGAGACATTTTTATGTAATATAATTACACAGGAATGAAACAGAGCTGACCCTCAATCAAACCTCGAAATGCAGCAGTCATTTATCAATAAATATTTTGACAAGGTTTGTATTTGCACAAGCCCCTTCATTAATCAAGGGCAAACAATGATAAGAGCAGAAAAGTATTCCCCTTTCAATTGTTCCAGTCTGTTAAAATGAATCAAACCCCAGCTTAATAGTGGATTAATAAGTGTCCAAAGGAAAGAATTACTCATGCTAATTACATGCCAAACATCACACTGAACCTCAAGGGTTACAAAAGGGAAAATTAAAGAGTATGTGATACCCCTCTTTAATGTGGTCCAAGGTCATTTCAGGTTAAACTTTGATTTGTTAAAAAAAAAGAAAGAAAGAAAGAAAGAAAAGAAAAAAATAATCTGTATAATACAACATGACACATTTGTTTTTTATATCTCATTTTTTGATAGTATGATCAATTCTAACCTTCACTTTAGCCCTAACCTATTATGAAGACTATAGAAATGTGGATACTGGGCTTCAAAATGCATTATTCCTATTTACATGCATTAAAGGGATCATTTATATCAATGAACTTGAAGGAATGTGAGATTATAGCCATTATATCCCTAGTTGGGTCATAGTGTGAATTTATTAAGCAAACTATAACCCTGTGTATAGTATTGATAATAAACCCTGTTCAGCACACACACACACACACACACACATGCAGGAGATAATGCCAGCTTTCACATTCAGGGCAGGGTAACTATCATTTGTGTTACCAGGCGGTCCTGCCAAGCCCATAATGACAGTGGATCCAGTGGCTCTCCTCAGAGATCCAAATGGGCCTTCAGCTCTATCAGTGTGTCATCAGTTATTACCCATTAATTATCAGCCAGTGAGCTATTTTGATGATGCATGTTTTTACCATCCGCCTGTGAAACCACCATACTTCTTTTTAACCCAGCTTATGTGAACTAAGCATACACGTGCAAGTATATGTTTTGTGACTGCTGACATGTAGTGTGTGCTTGTGGTATGTAATAAGACAACTCGCTGTGCTGACACATCTAACCTTATGTGAAAAACAGGTAGCATACTGCCAAGTAAACACTGATGGGGAGAAAATGTATTTAGTTACAATACACAATACTTTTTTGTAATAAGATCTCTTTTCTAAAGAACAAACATTCTTAAAAGTTTAGGCCTTTATAATTTACTGCAATGAATGCATGGACTGACACATTCCCACATGATCCAAAAAATATCCACTGAATTCCTGACTTCCCAATATAAACACAGTCGCTTTCTTGGAACATTTCTCGCAAAAGATTTGGTCAGAAAAATATTGTTGTTATTTTATCTGTCATTAAGTTAAGTGAAGTCTCTTCTCCTTATGAGGGACATGTTGGGGTGGATGCAGCCCACCCATGTGATTCCTATCATTTTCCTCGTTCCTCAGATGTTTGTTACTGTGGAATTTACCTTGTCATTCTCATCTGGTATGGAGCCACAATGAACCACTTATGTTTCATCATTAGAATAATTTACACACAAAAAATCTCAGGGCTACCAGTCAACTTCTCTCTGTCAAGGTTATACTGATATAATAAAAGATGAAGCCAGTCACAGTAGTTTCCTTTACTGCCTGGAACCATTTGCATTGATTAAACAGGAAACATATGATCTTTTAGCAAATTGAATCTGACACAGGGTTAATAATAGTCATACTGGAGCATTTTATATGGCCATAAGTGTTTTGTTCTGTCATGTCATATTCAGTGTTGGGGAGTAACAGGTTACATATACTGGCGTTAGGTAATCAGAATACAAATTCTGAGTAACTGTATTCGGTTACAGTTATTGTTTGAATGAGTGGTAATTGAATTACAGTTACTTTGTTGAAATAAATGGATTATACAGCAGCATTTTCCTGTTGTTAATGGATTATGTTACAATCTACATTTTGGGGTATGTAATCTGTATCAGCAATGTCTACATCACATAGATTCAGTCCAAGACATTGTAGAAAATAGGTTTGGTCAGGATGGATCCATTGAAATTCTTGACTCATTCCAGTTTACTGATAATGTCAAATGTAATGATTCATTGACTGTTAGATTCAATCAAAATCATCGAACAAAAGATGTATAGGAATTATTACATGTTTTTTTAAATAGTGAGAGGTCTTTGATAATGGTATTATTTCTCAGTGTAGTTGCTGTTAGTTAATTCGTTTTGGTTTGAGTAGTGCATTGCCATGACATTTTTCTTGATTGTGTGACAGACCAGATCCAACATAAGATTACTTAAAGCTTTAAAAATGACTTGCAGAAAGATCAGATAAGGCAGTATGGATTACCTTGGATATGCATGGTGTTAAGCCCTGTCACTCAGATTGGCGCTGCATGGAGTAGGATAAACACCATGTAAAGAACAGGCCTGTTAAAATAACGTATTTTGTGCGATATAATGCTAAACTAAATATGAGCGATAAACCATAATATTGCAACTCATTTAAGCCATTGGCACAAAAACCCAAGAGCAGATTTATACCACATAACCTTCTAAATCTATAATATTGTAAACAATACAAAACAAACACTTAAGTACTTGCATCAATAATTGGTTATAGAAGTTACAGATAGAATGATCTGATTGTTCAAGTTCATAAATTAATAAATACAATATCTAATCATAAAAGCACAGGATCTCACTCCACAGTTTACAAACATTTCATTGGCTCTACAAAACCTCTGCACTTTTAGTAATATTCTCAAAGAATCATTATATATTGAACAATAAATCAATATAGTAATTGTCATGACACACCTAGTGAAGAAGTTT